CGGTTAGAGCCGTCTCCGACCACTACTACAAGACCCAAGCTCTCGACGTGTAGCGTTCCGGTGTGCGCCTCAAAGAGCCAATAGACCATCACAGATGGGGCCGTTCTTCAGCCGTGTTTTCCTGTCAAGCGCAATAAACTACCACGGCCTCGGCTTCGAGCCAGAGGAGGAACGATGGGGATGATTTTTCCCTCCTCAAAAACGCTTACGTATTGACACGTGAGAATCTGCTGAACGGGCATTTTGCTTTATCTGTTTCCGGGGTAATTATTAATAACCTTGTGAGATTTTCATTTTTTTTAAACTAAAGCTAAGCCATTATTAATAAGAAATAAATTTATACCTAATATTTGCCTAAAATCTGTGATTATGATCCTTGTTTGGCTGTGTACTTCTTTGGCGTGTACTATAGTTATCTCTATGTATATTTTATACGAATAACAACCATGAAATAATGTTATAATGTTCGTGTAAATAGTATGCGGAGAGTATGACAGCTAGCTGGCTCGCCGCCTGTTAGCAGTATAATATAAACAATACATCATGTAAATAAAGACGCTACGGCGAAATGCCAATAATAAATGCATTCAAAGAAAAATATATTTCAAAGTGATTTTGATGAAATCTTTTATATTTCAGCGAGTCTCTCTATTTTTCACACGAACGTTTTACTTAAAGCTCGGCTGTGTTTAGCGAATTTACTCAAATTTACTTTATAATTGTTCAATTAGTGTGAAATGATTGCCACGCTATATCAAAAAAAAAACAGTGTGAAAGAGACATGCTCGACAGGATTGGTATCACAGATAACAGAAAACTGTTGTGAAACAACGCTTTAATTGAGTTACGGATTTACACAAGAATGAGGTTACCGGAGGATCAATTCTCAAATCCCAAATACCCAATTTTTTAAATTCCTAACCTCTCGATACCTAAATATTTAGATGTTCGTAAATCACTGAAAAGTAATGATGGTATTTAAAGTGAATCACTTTCAATCAACGTCATCGGCAATTGGCTAATTTAATAGGAAAAAAAAATTGTTTTGATTTTCCAATACAATAGGTAGAATATTCAACAATATTTTATTATTACATTCACACTTTATTGAAAATTTTAATGTCTAATATTATTTTGTTAATTTTTCAGAGAAATGATAACTACTTTGCGCAATATTACGATGACGCCTCATTTGATGATTCATAGAAAAGTATGGTACGGTAAATTCGGGTTACTTTGACCCTGGATTCTTTGATTTTATTCCAAACGAATAAAAACATAATAAGTTTATACATAAACGTTATGTAAATATAATACGTTACGGTTCTAGGTTAAGAGTTAAGAGGACTGCACGGTTGGTGCTGTGGCTAGCCAGTTGCCCAACAGGCTGCTGTTCAACGTTGCGCGGATTCGATTCCCGCACGGAACAACTCTTTGTGTGATCCACAAATTGTTGTTCCGGGTCTGGGTGTCATGTGTATGTTTGTAACCGCAACCACGACAGGAGAAAATCCTAGTGTGGTGCAACGCTTTTATATTAAAAGAAGAAAAAAAAGAAGGTTTGGATCACAGTTACCCGAACTTAGGGTTTAAGTATATTTTTGTTTTGGATTTAACTTGTCGACTACCGTATGACCAATATTCAGCAAAGTGAAACTTTATTGAAAAAAACGATTTACTCGCGTGAATTAATTGAGAACAGCTCTACTAGTTCGCAACGCAGTAGTTGTATCACTGCAACACGAATATGAGTCCCGTTGTAACTTGAAAATAGTAGAGATCTCCTCATTTATTACATACCTACTTAAGGTTGTTGTTTTATTGTGACCAATAATACATTTATAATTGTTCATAATACACATTACTACACAAAAAATACACTATAGTTGCACAAAAACACAATGCGCGAACATACCGTATCGTGTACCTAAAACTGTTCGCTCAGGTTACATATAACACAATTTTCTATTCTGCTCACAACGAAAACACGGAAACTGACTTCAACAAAATAGTTCTTAAGTACAAATAATTTTACATGTAGCCTTAAAATATTCCATGGCCCACATTTTGGTTATTTTCCGAGGTTACCTACTAAGATTCTCGTTAACTATCGCAATTAACATCATTTACCGTTTAAATCCCTAATTCAAATTACGAAGCAAGTATTCAGTCAGAACTGATGAGTAGTCTCTTAATTACACCATAGTTCTAGACTTTACTGCCCACCGGTAATTACTATGGCTGTAAAGACACATAACATACTCATACAATTTGCTGTTTTAGGATGCCTTTTCTACGAAAAAGCAAATTAATGCGGAAAACATGCCTTCTCATTCCAGCAAGTTATTCTGGCGATAACACGCTATTAATGTGATTCCGCTGACAGTAAATTGCATATCCTATAAAAGTTGAATGATCTCCAAAATAAATAATCTCTACTAAAGTAACATGTTTCCCTTATTCATTTTTAAGTAAACAATTTTTTTTTGCTTTCAATAAAAAAAATCTTGGCATTTCGTCTTCGGAAACTTTTTCGATATTGTTGGCAAAATATTGAATCATTTTGACGCCATATTACTTTCAACAGATAAATAAAGGTTATTTCTCGTGGCGCTTACTGTTTTAATATTTTTAAAGTGCAATAAAATTTTACACATGTTTAGCCTATCTGCGGACGTTCGTTTTATGATTATGGTACTTTAGATTAAGTTGTATGCGCCATGAGGTTTAGGTATTACAAACGAGGAGTACACACAAATGTAAAAGGTATTAGTACTTTTACAAGAGATTTTTAATTAGTTTTATGGCTGATTTTCCAATAGCCAGATAAATGTTTAGGAGGAGGAGTTGCTGTCACTATCTTATACAAACATGCGACAGCATCATAATTTATCCCCCAGAAAACTTTTATATAACCATTGAAAAATCAGCCCTTTAGGAAATGAAGGGTGGGCATAAAAAATTATATACTGTTTTCTTTTTCAATATTCCAGTTTTATGTAATTTCTCTATCAATTGCGGGTCGCTAGTCATATCTAAATAACAACTCATATCAAACTATAGTACCATCTTCATACACAACATAACATAACACTCATGTGCATTGCTCGTTGCATTGTAATTCCGTAAACATTCTTAAAGACCACTTTAATCACTTGAATTTAACAAACACTTATGAACTACCTAAACTTATTTTTTGGGTTATTGTTTTTTTTGTTAGAGGTATCAGGTAAATTATGAAATGACATTCTCTCGCTCAGGGTAAGGCGAGAGAGACTTTTACTGACTATAAACCCACTGTTCCTTCTCCTGCTCTAGGCCGGGGTTGCAGTGCCTCATTGCGCTTACCCCACAACGCCGGCTGAACATTAGCCTTGTAGGGCCCCGTCTGGGGTGTTTTATTGGCTCTGCAGAGACTTACAAACTGCAAAAATGTGGAAATTCTCCTTTGGTGAAATGAGCAAATTACAAATTCATTAAAAAAAATAAGACACTAATCCACACATTTCCGATTTCCGAACCAGAAATATCAACATTGTAGGTCTTTAAATCAGCAACTTTAAGAGGCAATAGATAGATCATATTTCTCGAAGAACAGACGTAGCTTGGGCAAGCCTCCTGCTTGGTGGAATGATAAGATTGTCAGAGTCGCGGATAGCCAATGCACGCAAGTGGTGAGAGGTCGTTTAATTGTTTTACATTAAGGACTAGGGGTGAGCCTTAGATTGTCACTTTATCAGGGGTAGGTTTTAGTTTTAATTCCGTAACTTTCATTTACAGTATTACAGGATTCAACAGTAATAAATATGACCATTATCAAAACAAGTTTGAGGATAAAATAACAAATAATAATATCAACATCATCAATTTCACAATAGTTTATCGATCGGTCGAATTAAACAGGTAATATAATTATATGTAATTGCAACGCATTTGGAACTGTACTAGTAAACATTTTCATGAATATATACTTATGCGATCACCCTTTTTTGTGCAAGTACTACTTATATTCGTTGTCCGTTAAAGGCAGGAATGTGTGAAAGTGAATCAGAAGTCTTGAACATCAGAATAACCATCATTGTACAGTAATTGCCTGCGGAAAAGGTCATGGGATTCCTACTGGGAGGAGGGAGGTCAGGTTGGGCATGCCCCAAAATCAGGTGAAGGCGTTAACAACACGAGTAATTAATCTAATTGGCTGCGATATAGATGTAGATAAAAAAACCTTATTCTCAATACTTAATCTCATTTGTGACCGCTCTGTGTACATACGGATAAAGATTTATGAAAGGGACGAATGATAATATTATCTTCAACGGTCAGAATACCTACAGTCGCATTCGGTATCATTATATTTATTAACACTTAACCGTTGTTGTTGTTCATAGTTGCAAGTATTAATGGGTACTCATTAACTGAATCTACATAAATGATTGATTTTAGGTACTGGATAAATTATGGGTCGTAAAAAAAATCTATGATCATTACATAATGCTAATAAAAATCTTAAACTTATCCTTCGATTTCCTTGAGGAAAATCAACAGGAAAAACAAATCCAAACAAGGAAACAACTTTTTGAAAATCTTAGTTTTGTAAAGTACTAAGTAAATGTACATAAAGGTAGAGACTGCCTTCTAATTCAGAGCACGTTTACTATGAATTAGGCGGAAAATCCTAAACTAGTATCGCGTCGCTCCGTCGGGCTTGACGTCATATAAACTTACCAAATTACAAAATTGCAATTCTAATGTAAACTGGAACGCATAGGGCCTTAAAAGAATAATATTGAAGGGTGTCTTTGAGACATAGGTGGTAGCATTAGTAAGTACTTGATTGAAAATATAAATCAGGGTGTTTAGTCATCAGAGGACTTTAAAGAAGCGTTCTGATTGGTCAGGCTGTGGCATGGTGCAGGGTGCAGGTTGCGGGCGCTGAGCGGTGTGACGTCACTTGCGCACACGCGGTTATATTGGCGCGCGGGCAGATCCGCGCGTTCATTCGATCGTCAGCGCGCACGCCGCGCACCTCGCGTCACCTGGACCACCACTAGTGCAACGAGCGCGAACTTTCAAAACATTATTTTACTGCAAGTTTGTTTCTGTGTGGACTGACTGTTCAGTGACAAAATGCCTAAGAATATATTAGCTGAGATGGGGTCCCAAGTGGGCCTCACACCCCGGCAGAACCAGAAGGTAAGTTTATGAAAATTTATAAAATTGGAAATATTGCGGATGTGCTTTTTGAAAGAAATGTGCGAATTCTTAAGGAGTTACGTTTTAATGTAGCGATTACATGCGATAGGAATTTCGAGATATTCGAGCCGAATGAATGGCTAGTCGAAGCTCACGGTCGGACTAAAATAAACCCTACTGGCGCGTCATTCTGCTAGTTACAATGTCAATACCGCTTACCCTCGAGTGCAGACTTACAGCGAAAGTCGCACGCGGGCGCAGGCGCATCCACGCTGCCTACCCTCAGTAGCTTAATTGGACTTTCATACTGAAAAGTAGAGAAGATCATAACTTGAAACTCGTTATATTTACAAACACAACCAAATACTCTGACACGAAAGATACAGGATTTTCGTTCAAACCATGCCATAAAAGATAGCTAAACTGAAAAATAGCATTTATCCCAACTCTGTGTATAGTAAATCTTATCTAGTACGCGAGCCTGATCCTCTGGCACCCGTACGAATGTACGATACAATTTCGGCGACTACTGTAAACCGTTAAAAGAAATTGGACCGCGGCCAGAATGAGCTTATTTAACGGAAAAATGTAGATATGTAACGTGTATCCCTGTAATATGGAATCTGTAGCACTAGCAGTCAAATATAACAGTCTGAAGGCCGGCCGCTGTTTATGTACACACTCGGCCACAACTTCACGCACGCTGTCAGAAGCTTTCACAGTAATTTAGCCGTTATTTATTGAATGCTAAGTATCTGATTCGTATGTTTGACTTTAACGTTTTAAAAATATTGGAAATCTTTTCTCTTGTGGAAATGAAAAACTTTCTTGAAGTCAAGTCAAGAGAGGAATGGGTCGGCTCGAACGGAGCTAAACAACGTTAAATAAACACATAACGCATCAAACCCCAAGCGAACGCCGGCATTCGCGTACCTACATATTCTATCTCGAATTACCACAATTAAAAGGTTAAACAAATGAATAACTATGTATATCCCTCAAAACAGGTATAATGCGCTATAAGTACATAAGTGTTTATGTAAATTGTATCGTTTTGTTTTCTTGCTACCTATTTGTAATACAAAAACTATAAACATATAGCTAGTTACCTCCGCACGTACCATAGATAAACAAAAAAGAACGACATTAGACCCTAATCGCCATACGACTTAATATCAGCGTAAAATTTTCACAAATTCCTTTGTTCTTATAGACATTAATGTTTAAATGGCATCATTAAAAACATATTTTGAGCTGTAGACACATATTGTACTTATGTAGGTACTTATACTACTCATATATTGTGTTGTGGCTACATCCTCGATTTCCTCACTTCTAACCAACAAAATTTGATCAAATGGTTAAAATTGTCTACATTACATGTTTTTCCAAATCCCTAAATCCCCAAAATCCCAATCCCTAAAAGGTCGGCAACGCACTCCTTCTTTGTTGAGGTTGTCCATGGGTGACGCTGATTGCTTACCATCAGGTAATCAGTCTGCTCGTTTGCCGTCCCATCACATAAAAAATTTTTTTTTCATCGAAATTTGGCCATATCGTAAAATAATAATGACAATATGTTCGTTGCTCTAATGTAGTTCATTTTTTTTAATCGTCCTATACTACGTTTTTCCCATGTGTCGTGAGTACGTTTATGACGTACAATTTCACATACACGTCACACCCAGAGCCGAAACAGCACTATTGTGAATCGCACAAAGAGTTTTTTCGTGCGGAAGTCGAACCTGTGACACGTTGCTTGGAAGCCGGTTGCCCAGTCACTGCGGTTGCTGTCATGTTCTTCTTATTTACGCAAACTCAAGAAAAAACCTAAAATAAATACGATCTGTGCCTTTGTTTGTACATAAGTATTTCTTAAGTACTTAAATCTATTGGACCATTCAATAATGATAAAAAAATATTTTGTAAACAAGTTGAATGAGTAATACTCTACATAAAATTGAATTCTTTTTTTTTTCTTTATTTTTAACGTTGCCCCACACTAGGATTTTCTCCTGTATCGTGGGTGCGTTTACAAACATACAATTTCACATACACATGACACCCAGACTCGAAACAACAATTTTTGGATCACACAAAGTGTTGTTCCGTGCGGGAATCGAACCCGCGACACGTCGCACGGCAGCCAGTTGCCCAGCCACCGCGCCAACCGTGCAGTCTTTTGCATTCAATGTAGGTAATATTATAGTGCTTATGTACCAAAAAACGTATTTCATAAATGTACATGAAATTCTAACATATACAAGTCAATATCTTTACACAAATTACCGAAGAATTTTCGAAAATTTTCTTTCATCTGATCTTCCTTGTGGCGTACCGACGACATCGTCAGAGTCATGAAGGTCCAATAGATGCAATCGGCGAGTTGTCGTTCAACGTGGAGGAGTAAGGGGAGGCCTTTGATCAGCAGTGGACATCTTCTAACTGATGATGATGATGATGATAATAAATTCTCCTTCTAATGAGCCTTAGGTAGATTTAGACGACGTTCTGGCGTTCACGTGCGTTGCGAAATCTAAGGGAAATGAATCAAACTAGAACATCTGATAAACCTACATAGGAAAACTGACTATCAACAAATTTTCCAGAAAGTTCTAAGTTTCTACATAGTTATTTGGATTCTGTTTTTAATTTATCAAGAAAAACAGTAATGAATAAAATAAGCTAAACGTTTCAATTGGAAAAATTGTCCTTACAATTCTTTAAATTGTTTATCTATACTTTCTACATGCATATGTATCTATACTTGACTAAGGATACCATTAGTGTGACTAAAACTACTTTCTAGAAAAGATACATTTAAATATGTACCTTATTAACTTAGTAGTAACTCAATAATTTCATAATACCTATAGATCAAAATACTATAATCGCCTCCAGTGGTTGCAGTTTGTACCAATCACAAAATTAAATGTCTCATTTCATCAACCAATCATTCCGTCGACTGATAAGAATTGAATTCAATTGGCTTTCAGATACTGGTTTGATCTGGTCGATCGTGCCGTCGGGGTTATACTGGCAATATATTACATACTATATTACCACTTTATGGTCATTGATAATGCCTGTTACCAACCTCATAGACCGGCTAGTTACTAGTAGGTAGAGACGTCTATATAATATAATCACTGCCGAGGTCCTTTATTATGTTTAAAGACACAGCAAGCCTACTTGACAATCTTGACATACACCGGCCCTAATTTTAACATCGGTGCTTCCACGGATAATTTTTGACAATTCGAAAATACACGACTGGCGCACTTAGTCCCGCACGTAAATGGAAACCCAAGACTCTTTAAATAGTAGACAGCGGTTGCGACCACATGATCAATGACCAATGACTTTTTCGCGACTAGTATCGATAACGTTCTCCGTAAATGTGATAACCAAGAAAAAAAGTCAAAAAGAAGTATTTATCGTAGTACGTTATTAAGTGTTTCGATTTGACGTGTACTGAGTCTTACGACCGTCACTAGTGCATATCGAATATATTAAAACTAACCTTGCTTGAGGAGAATTCACAAGTGTTTAACGTGGCCATACCATGTCACGGTCGACCAGCCAACCACCGACAGAATGGCCGGGGGACTACTCGTGTTTAGTTGATCATTTATTATTTAATTAAGAATTTGAATTGACTAGTAAATACTTAAGCATAATTATTATCAACCTGGTAGTGGTCAGTATTTAAATACTAGCAGAAGACAATAGTGCACCCACAAAACAGTCAATAATATCGCTACAAATAGTATTACGTTTGTCAATTTTAATTGTCTTGTACACTCAATAAAGTAATTTAGAGAACAGGTGAGAAAATAAAGATTGATTCAGTACAGAGGCCGCTGTGTGTAATAACATATCGCGACCCGGCTACAAGAGTGCGGTTTTAATTCAGAAAGAGACTGACACTCTTTCTCGTCTCAAAGGGCTGCAGGTTCCAAGACAAAGGTAGATTTTGCTTTCTCAAAAAAAAAACATGTTGTTTTCTGCGTAGGTACTAACCTTGTTTTGGTGACTTAAATTAATATTAATAAAAGGTAATTGAGTTACATAGTTACTGGTACAACAGAGAATCCGTCACACATGTTTTGCCAGATGTATCTAGAGATTTTTAAGTAATTGCACAATTCTGTTGAGGAAGGAAAATTTAAACAGATTGTGACAACGCGTTGCACTTTGTTAACATTGAAAGTGGGGAAAAGATAAGTATGTAGGTATTAAGTTATTTTTAAAATCTAGACATATTGTATATTTACCTCATATCTGCAAACCATCGTCTTACTAGCTTACCTTTTACGATACTAGTCCATAAGTGGCAGATCTAGCATAGTGAATTTTTTTGCAGACCAAACTGAACCCTAGATTTGTCGAAATAGGTGTTAAACCAATTTGGCGTTCAGGATTTTGAATTAAATTAATAGCGGTTGTGCGATATTCATTATTTTCATGATATTATTTTATATGTATGTGTACGGGTGTCTCTCTATTTGCATCTAAGAAGGCAAGCGGTCAGAGTTTTTTCCCTTCAAACTTCAAACAGTATCAAGTTATTAAATAAACTCACCAACACCTTGATCAAACAAAGCCACATATGAATTTTAATTAATTTGTTTTTGAAGATGATGATGAAGATGAAGATGTTTAACGCACTCTTGGTGTCATTACATAACGTATATTACCTAACAGCATGATCTGGATCGGATGCACGTTTTCTTAATGAATTAACAAAATGGTGGTATAAAAGAAAGGAGGTTATAAGAAAAAAAAAAATGTCACCTTATATTCTATTCTAATAATAACAGGTTTTTGAATCACGTTTACCTTTAATACAACAATGACTTACGATTGCTAATTTAAAATGCTAATTTAATTAAATCTATATAGATACGTAGAATAGTATAAGAATTGGCGTTAATTTTTCCCAAGTACATTATTGTGAATGATTTACGAGGCTGGTCCTTGGCGCATCACATGATTGTAACGATCGAGATGAATTCTTAGGCGATAATTGTGTGAAGATGAAAACAAGTGTTAACGTGAGTCAGGAACGCTAACTGCTATAAATGGCGAGCCGTAAGCATCATTTGTAACTTACCTATTCCTTTATATCTCTTTCTATCTAACTCTTTATATCTTCTCAAAAATCCCATTTTATTTCGATTCTTAAACACTGTTACTATAACAAAGAAACTGTAGTCACTATTTCCTAGTCTAATCTAAGTTTTTCAACTATTATCTGAATTGCGCGTGCGCATAGTACCTACGTGTTAGTGATCTACAACAATATGCGTCACGTGTTCCCCTTCGGTCACGTTCTCATAAGCTTTTCGTTTATACTTACAGAATTTATACGGCCACTAGCCGTCATTTCAGACGGAAATCGTATTTCTTTGATGATTATTATTGAAATGGCAACACCAACCTACTTCATTTCTCGGATGCTGGCAATTTCGAAAACATTCTGCGATATAAGGCGTGTTAATAAACGTTTTTATTTTGGCGTATTTTAGTCCGACTGTTTGCTTCTTGAACTACAACACTTTAAGTACATTCATACAACGGAATATTTTCTTGTATACTGCAATAATAATCATGCACCTCTCTTTTATGCATGGCTCTACGAATGTAACTGACGAAACATACTGCTTGCCTTTTGACAAATTAGTTACAGTGCTTCATACAGCACAGATACAGCACAATTAATATTTCAAAATGGCTAAACTTATTGGTATAATACACATTGTTGTAAATTTATTCAACACTAAACATCAACCTGCTACAGGAAAAAGGACTTAAAAACACATAGGTACTTAAGGTAGAATACAAGTTATTCAGATTGAGATCTTATTAGATATAATGATAGTCTTACGAAAAGGAAAATAAATAAAAAAAAATACCTAACGAGAACGTCAGATGCCGTGTAAAGCAATAATATTATTTTGCAATAATAAATCGTAAACTGGCGCTCACTAAAACACCGAATACTTCAAACACGTGACAACGTACATACAACTACAATACTTACATGTGCAAATAGCGAAATAGTTTAAAAATATACGCGTCTATCTGTCGAGTTGGGGACTTGTTCATGAATTCTGGCAATATTTTCTCTTCATTTGTAACGATAAGTCACGTTTCGGAACACGCCATCGGCGGTCGACGACGACGATAGTCTGTGTTACCATCTGTCGTGGCTGAGTCCACCTGATCCGGCCGGCAGACGGCCAACAAACAGTTTGCCAAACGCAACAGGAGGTATATCCGGAAACTTATAACTACATAAAGACCTGACACTCCGATGGCTATTTTACTGATACTTATAAGAACTGCGCCATAATTACCGGCCGTGTTTTAGTTTCAAACAATGTTTTCTTCACGTGTGGATGATGTTACATGAATAGGAAACTCATTACGTCTGAAAAGATGTTCTTTGAAGTTAATGTTTTGCTAATGATGCCCTATACTAGATTTGCCTATTTTCATCTTCTAATTTTACAGTATAAACAAGAAAGGCTTAGAAGATTTTTATAATTGTATCCTTAGGTAAATAGTTCTTGGAAGCAAGTAGGTATTATTGGTAGATGAAAATTTTACATGTTATGTCTTTGAGAAATGTTTTAACAAATCAAAAGGATTCCATCTATTCAGCGTAGGGTAGCAATTCGTTATGATAATAGTAATAATTTCATAATATTACATTAATGGTGGAAAATTTGAAGTGGTTCTAGAGATAATTCTGCGACGGCGCGTGATTGGAATGCTGTCGATAAATAAGACAATTACAAAGGTAAACGAACGCACTGAGGAAGCTGGTGATATGTGTTACTTAGTGATTAGATTACATTTAATATTGCCCTATAGTACAACGTCCATTATATGAAAACCTGATTAACTTAGTCTCCATTGCGTACCGAAGTCTGATTTTCGACTTTGTTACAAAATTTTAGAATTGAAATTCTAATGCAGTAATAAAACAGATTGAAACTTGTGATACTTCTACAACGTATGTATATCAGGCATCTCCTTAATCGTAGTAATCTATGCAATGATTCGATAGTGAATTTTATACATAAGACACATAGTGGTTTTTACATTCTCCTTGGGCAAGTTTGTAGCGCTTCCGCTTTATATGACGTTGTATACATATATTTTTTAAATAATCTCTGTGTGACCTTTTTTGGCAATTCGTCAAGCATGCCAATGTGTGCCTTAATATGTAAAGAACCTGTTGAATGTGAATATATTCCTTAACTGCTATCATTCACTGCAGAATCATTCTTTTTGTTGTAAGCTTATTGTCGTAAATGAACAGAAACTAGCTCTTTTCTGGCAATGTTGACTTGCAGGTATATCAATAAACACCGAGAAGTGCCAGTACCTACAACTCCTATCCTTTGTCTCCCGCCCAGATTTGGTCTTTTTAAAAACGACCATGACAAAGTGGTCTCTCGGTGCCTACTACGATATAAGTTCTCATTTGCATTCATAACATTATTTCATCATCTAGGTACCATT